GGAATTAAGACTTGTCCTCAAGTCTTAACCTAGCTGCTCTCAAGTTTTTCAGAGATACTGGTAGCAATCCTGACATGCGTGATAGCGTAGTTGATATTTCTGGAAATTGTTTCTTCACAGAGGTGCCCAATACTCTGAGGAAGTAAATTGGTTTATAATACTGAGGCTTTGTTTTCAAGGCTTTCAAGCTACACAGAGCTCAGACTTCATAAAGTTTTCCCCAACCTTGCTAGCTAGTTCACGTAGTGAGAGCTTACAAGGGAAAAAGCAAAGCCATTCTCTTTGCATCCCATGAGAGTGATCATTTGGAGCAGAACAAAGAAACATAGAAGAATCAGAGCCTCTAGGCTGAGGTCCTCAGCATACAGAATTCAAATGGAAGCAATATCAGCCTGCACTAATCAAGCTGGCCATGCTTTTGTCAGTGAGGTCACCCTCGAACCCCTAGCCTTGTGGGAGGCTGGCAACTGAGGAAGAAGCCTGCAGACATCACCCTGCATCAAGCTTCAATGGAGACGGCTGCTTAGCATAGCAGCAGCAGCATCCAGATTGTAAGGCTTACACTGGGAAGCCTTACATGCGGCAGAAGGTCAAGCAACAGAAGGGCCTCCCTGGGACGGCCGTGGCCGCAGCACTTTCCCTTTTCATTTCTAACTGCAGTTGTTCTATTTAGGTCCTCAGGTATTGAGGAAGTAGGGTGAGGGTAGTTATGTATCTAACCACACGTGCAGATGGTGTTACTCCTTCTCTCTATCCTGTTCCTTCAACATCAAAGAGAGGACCACTGTCAGACCCAAAAATTATTTTTGGGGTGCTGTGGCATTGCAGCAGGAAGTTTGCCTTACTCATTCGAGCAGAATTCAACTCTTGTGCTCTTTTGGTCCCACATTTTTATTCAGAAAAATTTCAAACCTATAGAAAAATGGAAAGACTAGTACATTGAACACCATACGCCTTTATCTAGATTTACCAATCGGTAATACTTGGCCATATTTGCTTTCCCTCTGTCTCATATGATCAAATCCCCCCTCCATCCCCCTCAAGTCATTTGACAGTAAGTGATAGACATCATGACATTTCACCCCATAAATATTTTAACCTGGATCTCTTTTTAAAATTTATTTGTAATTCGCAAGTAAAACCTGTTACATATTTATGGTGTACAACATGATGTTTTGAAGTATGTATACACTGAAATATGTAATACAATGGCTAAATCAAGTCAGGGATCTCTTACTTGTAATAACCTATCTACATTTCCTACATAACCACATACCACTACCACAAGTAAGAAAATTGACCTTCATCCTATAGAATTATATAACGTATTGTCTATTTTCAAGTTTTCCCTATTTGGATCAATAATGTCTTTTATAACTGTTTTGATTGATTTATTTTCAAATCAGAATGTAATCAAGGTTAAGATGTTACATTTGGTGATTATATTTGTCCAGTCTCTTTATCTAGAAATTATGATACTGCCTTTTTGTAGAATGCATGCTAATTCCTATAGTCTACCCCACATTCTGAATTTGTCTATTTTTGATATAATCTGACTTGCTCTTCTATGCCCTAAATTTCCTGTACACTACTACAAGGTGGGCTTAGACTCAGATCAAACATTTTGTCAACAATGTTTCATAGGCTGTGCTGTGTTGGGCAAAAGGGTAAATGCTTCTTGTTGTTCATGCAGTCGTGCTCCTGTTAAAATGTCGTGTGCTTTGAGTTGTTGGGTGAAAGGCCAGTTCTCATGCTCATCTCCTGTCCTCTTTGCAGAATATGTGCACCATTGAAGCGGAGCTAGAGAATCTGCTGGGAGAATTCTCCATCAAGATGAAAGGTATTCTTTTCCCTGTTTAGAGAGAATAAGGAGCCATCTCTGCAGAGCGCAGAGCTCCTTAAAGTTTGAGAGCCCATGCTATTTTTATTTTCCTTGCAAAGACGCAGTGCCACCCACTCTCAACCCTCCCCACTTTTGATAGTTTACTGATGCTTCTCATGCTGAGGCTTACCTACACACACAAAAATATTATGACAGAATCTCAAACATACACAGAAGTGGAGAGAACATTATAATGAACCCCCCATAAACCCATCACTTAGATGTAATAATTAGCAAGATTTTGCCACGTTTGCTCCATCTCTTTGCTTTTGTTTTTCCTTTGATAAAAGAGAAGTCCTTGGATGAAATAAACCCCAGATATGTCAGTCTGCGGCTATACACTTCAGTATGCATCTCTTAAAGCATGGGGTTGTCATCTTACATAACCACGATGCCAAGTACTGTCACATTTTCACAGCTAACAAAAATAATAAGCCTTGGTTATTAACCCATTCCATTATCAAATTTCCCCCATTGTCTCAAAAATGCCTTGTACATTTGATTAGTTCAAATTAGGATCCAAACAAGGTCCATGCATTACAATTGGTTGTTAGGTATATCTTTTAGACTTCCTTTAATCCAAAACAAACCTCTCCCCTGCTCCACCCGCTTTTTTTTTCTACCCTTGACTTGCTGTAGAAACCATTGTACGGAATGTCCCACATTCTAGCTTGTCTGTTGGCTTCTTTGTGGTGATGTTTAAATTCTTCCTTTAGCTCCCCATGTTTCTAGCAAACTAACTATGAAATTTTATAAATTTTGGTGTTAAACCCACAGAGAATTTTTCCCCTCCCAGTGCCTTTCTGGTATTTATTCCAGAAAGGTCCAAATTAGACACATGATTGAGTTATACCACAGCATCTTCAGAACAAAAACGAAGTCTGATTTTAGAAAACAGAGCATTGCTCAGGTGTTGTCAGATTTACGGCTCAGTGGCCAAGCATGGCTGTCAAATGAGCGGCCATCACAGCAAGTCAATTTCTCTTCCGAGTTTTGGCCCATTTGACTGCAGCGAAGAGGGCTGGTGCTTATGCAATTCTGAGGTTTCTTAGCAGCTTGATCCCTGGGTTGCTAATGGGGATTTAATCACCCTCTTTCTACTTTCTGCAATTAAGGGAGTAAAGAAAGGAGACTTTTTTTGAAAGGGCTCGACAGGAGGGCTTCATTTTCCAATGAATCATCTAACTCAGGAGGGAAATTATTCTGTCAAGCACTAGGCACTGACATGTGAGAGCCTGTCTGAGAATACCTGGAATAAAAATGACCTTGACCCTCAGCTTCCCAAATGGCTGCATGCTTCTCTTCCGGCAGACCTGGTAGGGAATCAGTTTAATATTCAGTGTTAAATTTCAACACTTGCTTTGCTACTGAGTCTGGCATCTGTGCTTTTTTCCATTTTTTAGGTCCATTCTCTACATTTTTGGGTCCTCACTTGAGTCAGTGGTTCCAAAATCACTCAGGTCCATAGTCCCACAGTGGGCCCTGGAATTTTTATTTTAACTTTGAAGATGATTCTATCAGCAGCCTGATTGATCCTGGAAAACAACTGCCCTGAATCAGTGTTTAGCAGAAAACCTTCCCTCTACTTCCCCCAACACTCAGACACCACCCACACAGACTAGCACAGTCGCAGAGTCTCGCAGCCTAACGGTAATGCAAATCATGCACGTCGCCTATCGCTGCTAATATTAATACGTACTGTATTTCTCCTATTTCTGATATTCAGTATTAACAAATGCATCTACTTTTGTGGGATGGTAATTTCCTGATTTTACATATGGGAAATAGGGGCCTAGAGAGGCTAAATGACTTGTCCCAGGAGTCACACATAAATTGGAGTCAGACAAGAAACTGAATTCCAGGGTTCTTTGTTCCTAATGCATTCCCACCTCTAACTCCATGTTATGAGGGAAGTTCAGAGCTGAGCAGACAACATAAACCATTACTCAAAGAATGGTCTCCCTTATGGGCAGATCCTCTTCAACCTAGCACAGAGGCACGCACCCTGGGAGTGGGATGGGAGGAAAGGGACCACCCTCGGACCAGATCTGGAGCTTCAGGCTTGGTGGTCAGTGAGGGGATGATGCTGGAGTCCCTGCCACCTACTGGGGGACCTGGCCACCCCGCTACATCACAGCCCTGATGGGCTGATGAACTTGCTGTGGCTCCCACTCCTCCGTCTCCCCCTCTCTCTGTTGTTCTTGCTCTCCTGCCTGATCTTCCTGAGAGTCTACCTGAACACTTGGTTTCTTCCATGGGGTTTTTCAGGCCTGAAACGGAATCTCCTTCCTCACTGATAGACTCCTGTCTCCTCCACTGTCCTCATCTAACATGCAAATTCAGAAACTATATCTGTGAAGCCTTTCAAGGGTAAACGCCCCCATGGAAATCTTTCTCTTCCTCCATAAAGAGAAAGGGAAACCTTCTCATGCTGCCAAGAAATCCTATTGTCTTTGCAATCAGCTGCTTTCTCATCTGTTATTCATTCTGGTAAAAACTACTTCCAACATACATATTGACAAACTGAGAGTATGTCATAATACTCTCAGACCCAGCAACCCCCAACTTCCTTGCACCACACCCTTCCTCACTTCCCTTTTGCCCCACCCTCAACACTAGACAACAACTTTTTGGGGTAGTGATGTTAAAGAGAATAGAGCAAGTACTTACCAAGTGCCTGCTATTGGCTAGGCACTAGACTGCATTCTGATGACTGGTCCCTGGCCTTGAGTTCCACATGGTCTACCAGAGAAAAGGGACATATGAGGCTGTGCATTCTCATCCAATGGAATGAATGACCACTTGAACAACAGTGTGACCCAGTTTGCTACAGAAGCAGGAGGGGAGGGGAGGAAAAGGTTGCCACTCACCTCTCCAGGTGGGGAGGGGAGCAGGAAAGAGGAAGGCTTCCCAGTGTAATATATGGTGAACAGCACCAGAATAGCATTCACCAAACAGAGGAAAGCCTGTTCAGAGGTGACAAGTAGACCGGTGTGGCTGACGTGCTTGTCGGGAGAAGAGCTATGGAGAATTAGTTGGGTCCTGATTATAAAAATCCATGAATGCCAGGCCGAACGGAGAGCACTTAATCTGCAAAGTATCAAACAGGATGGAGGTAAAGAGGTAGTTCCTTAGAGCAAACTAGTTCTCCAAATTATTACTTGGTTCAAATGAAGTTCCAGGCAGTGTATATATCCAGTCTCTGCTGGTCCTTACAGTTTCCAGGGCAGATCAACATTCCTGAGAAGGAAGAACCATCACTGAGCTAGTAAACTTGCATTATTTATGCCTAGTCAATAAATCAGTAAGGCCTGTAATAGGAGCTCCTGACTGTATAGCTACTTGGTTGGTTGTCTTAAAGTAGGAAGTGTGAAGGGAGAAATGATGGAGAGTGTTCTGGCAGAATGGTGTCTGAGCAAAGGAAGGCAGGCAAGAGTAGGCAGCTGCTGTAACACCCTCCAAACGAGGCTGTGGAAGAGGTATTAGATCAGTAATATGTGAGTACCATGAAACATCCAAAGGTATGACCCCTGCAAGCCCCCCATGCCCACCCTCAGAGGTAACCCCCATGATGGGTTTTTGAGTGAAAGCTAGAAAGCTTTCATTAAGCTTTCTAGATCATGCACTAGTAATCACAAACTGTTGAGAAAACTTGCAGCTTTCTCTAACCGTGAAAATGCCAGCAGGCCCCCAGACAAGAGCCTGAAAGAAACCTGGCCAGGCCTCAAAGACAGACTGTAACTGTCATTGCCCCACTGTTAGTGCTAATTCCGTGGCCAGTACCACCAGTGGCTTACACAGCAGACAGAACTTTAAGAAGCACTGCACAAAAGCTGTTTGTGCCTGGATAGTGCCATTGTGCTACATTATTGCTACAATCAGAGGATCAGTGATGCCACTACAGCAGTTCCAAGAAATTTTGCTTAGTAATGTGGGCTGAGATGTGAAAACCACATCACTACCAAGTACCTTTCTCATATTCAGTTTTCTTCAGATATAAAATTTCTGGTAATTTTAAAGGTGGGGAAACAAATACCTTCAAAGGATTTCCCCTTTATCCACCTTTATCTAGTAACAATGCCAGATCAGTTTCTTTTCAACCAGTCTTCCATTGTAATTACATAAATAAGCAGACAATAAATTAATCCTGAACTAATTTGCAGAGGGGTTTTGTTTTGTTTTTGAGACAAAGTCTTGCTGTGTCACCCAGGCTGGAGTGCAGTGGCACCATCTCTGTTCACTGCAACCTCCGCCTCCTGGGTTCAAGCGATTCTGATGCCTCAGCCTCCAGAGTAGCTGAGATTACAGATGCCCACCATCACACCTGGCTAATTTTTGTATTTTTAGTAGAGACAGTGTTTCTCCATGTTGGCCAGGCTAGTCACAAACTCCTGACGTCAGGTGATCTGCCCACCTCAGCCTCCCAAAGTGCTGGGATTACAGGTGTGAGCCACCACGCCCGGCCAATTTGCAGAGGTTTTTAAAGAGTACTTTGGATTGTATTAGAATTAGCATGTCCAGT